AAAATATCTCCATACTGCTCGTCCGTAGTGATCCAAGTGTCCTGAAGCCCCAACATAAAAAGTTGTTTGGAAAAACATCATTTGAACTCTGTTTTTAGTCTCATTGTAGCCTGTAGCTCTGACTGCTTCTGTGTGCTCCACACTCACGTGTGCACACTTGCACAAGACCGTGAGACATGGGCACCGCGTTCATGTGTTCACGTGCTTTTGCTGGTCTCGCGCACACCATCAGATTTTAACTTTTACTAATGTGTTGTTAATGACTGAAAACAGACACTAAAAAACTGCTGTAAAAATATAAATATCAGATATCCTGATCAAAACTACCAAACGTTTAAAAAAAAAAAAAAAAAAATCAGGATTTTAACTCTTTAAAAGCCAATTACATACGTGATGTCACTGATTTGGGGGGGAAACACACAAAAAGACTTATTTTCATACAAAAAGTTATTGGAGACTGGATTTTTTTTTTTTACCTTTTATAACAGTCTTGGTTATGTCAAAGATTAGTAACAACTTGATGCATTATTAGTTTATGTGCAACCCACTACATAGGCTTGTGCATAGAAAGCTAGATTCTGGCTGTTATATATGAAGCTATATGGGGCTTATCAGCATATTATAGTGTACCTGTGTGTGCGTGTGTGTGTGTGTGTGTGTGTGTGTGTGCGTGTGCACATGCGTGCATGTGTGTGTGTGTGTGTGTGCGAAATAGAAGAAATAGAAAACTAGTGAGTACACGTGTCAGTCTAGTCTTTCCAGCCGGACTTTGCAAATGTGTCCTCAACAACAGAAAACTAGTGAGTACACGTGTCAGTCTTTTCAGCAGGACTTGCAGCACAACTCTTGGTTCACTTTGCAAGTGTGTCCTCCACAATGGATGCAAGTACTAACTGTTTTCTTTTTTTTTTGTCTTGTGCACAACTTGCATGATCCCCTCTTTACTCCTGAGCTGCTTGTGTCTGCTGGTGTCTGTAGGGGGAGGGGCAGCTGCAGAAGCCCTGATCTCTCTTGCCAGTGCAGCAGCAACTGGTGCACGAGGGAGGCACTCTCTCCTCAACATTGCTGCAGAAACCAGAAAATTTCCAAGCTCTTCTAGGAAAAGCCTTCTCCTGAACAACTTTCCCTGGTTCCAGCAGAGATCCACAGCCGTGAAGATGACAAATACATTATATGCTGAGATGTCCACCATGTCCAAAAATAATGCCTGTGGCCACTGATTGGTCTTCCTTTTGCAGCTGTAGGTGCCGACAACCTACAAAGATAAAAGAACAAGAAGCATGATAACTTTTATTCTAGAGCTGCATATGACAGTAAGAATTATCATGCAACCGTTATCAAAACACAAAATGTATCTTCTAAATTTATCTCTTACAAGCACATGAATTCAGTAAAAATTACCCGGAATAGGATGCATGTAGTAACAAATATGTAATGGCACATACCTTGTCTAGATTGTCAACAGCTCCCTTGCAGTCATTATATTTGGTGATGATCTCTGGCTTCTTCTTTGGGCCCTCTGTCACCGCTGCCTCCTAGTGCCTTGTGCTGATGAGGATCACATTCCTCCCCCGTTTTGGAATGTAACTCACGGCCGTTGTGTTCCTTGTAAAGGCCAAGACAGTGAGGCTCATCCTTTAACTGGCACAAGGTTGGGTGGTAGCTACGGTTTATTTTTTATGATCATCCCGACCAAGGCTATCTTCTTCTGCAGAAGCTCTTGAGCAAGTGAGTAGGACGTAAAAAAGTTGTCAAAAGTGACAGTGACACTCTGGAGTCCTTCTCTCATCTCTATGACGACACGCTTGCCCTGGCCCACCTCTGCAGCATCACCTGTTTTTCCCAGGTAAATATCACATCTGCAGGCATACGATGTGGTGACATCAGTAGTTACCCAAATTTTCAAACTGCATTTAGCCTTGTTTTTTTTTGGCATGTATTGCCGAAATTTGCATGGCCCTCTGAATGGCAGGAGCTGCTCATCAATTGTGACATCTTTGCTGGGGTTGAGAAGCAGAGGAAGGTGATGCCTCCACATTTCCCACAGCAACCTGATGGGGGCAAGCTTGTCCTCCCTCTGTTGAGCTGGTCTCTGCAGCTTGTCATCAAAGCGCAGAGCTCTGCTGATCGCATGAAAGCTTTGGAGGAACATGGTGGCTCTGGAAATCACACAGCTGCTGCAATCATCCCACATCCCGTTTGTGGACTTGCCTTTGGATCTGTAGACTCTGGCCAAAATCAGGAGCCCAATGTAGGCACGGAGATCTATGGCTGTGGAGTCATGCCTCTGGCAGGCAAAAAACTGGGTTGTCTCCGTGTTGGTGGGAAACCACACTTCCCCATTTCTTCCAGTCCACCCAGATCCAAGATCCTCTGTATCCTCCTCGTCTTCAGTTGAAGAAGCTGGAGAGGACAATGAGGGCGCCACAGCAAAATCAGGATCTGACTCTCCTGAGAGTTTATAACCATTTCCAAAGCTTTGCTACAGGTGAAGTGCCTCTTCATGTTGCTTGCTGCTTTTCTCAGCATCAAATGGGCAGCAGGACAGCATGGAAGTGCTTATATCAACTCGCCTTATTTTTGTTTAATCCATGTAGACTCTTTGTAATCCTGAGAGCTGGGGCTTCTCTTTTCACCAACAGGATAGCAGGTGCATCATTTTGTTTTTGTTTACTCTTTGTAAAGTCTTTGTAATCCTGAGAACTGGGGTGCATGTTTTGATTTTCTTGGTCATGTCAATGTCAGTGTGCAAAGGTCTCTCTCGCTCTCTCTCTCTCTCTCTCTCTCTCTCTCTCTCTCTCTCTCTCTCTCTCTCTCTCAAAAGGTTAAAAAAAAATACCCTAACTTTTTATGTTGGAAATAAATGATTTTGTGTGTTTTTTTCCCCCCACATCAGTGACATCACTTATGATATTGGCATTTAAAGAGTTAAAATCCTGAAAACTTTTAAATATTTGGTAGTTGTGATCAGGACTCAGGTTGATTAACAGATTTAAGCAAAAACAGTTGAAAAAACATCTGATATATTTTTACAGTAGTTTTTTTTTTTTGGGGGGGGGCATTTTATTAATAGCACATTACCTTATTTTACTTTCACCAATTTATTTATCTAATGACCTTAGTTTCTGTTTGGTCTATGACCTTTTATATCAGTTGGTCTTCACTGACCTTTTATTTTGTTCTAGACATGGTCTTTAGAACCCCAAACTGTGCACCCAAGGTCTTCGGGACCTCATGGTCATATACGGTATTTTCTGTTCGGTTGTCAGACCATAATTTCTGTACGTCAATGCTGACGTTAATTTCTGTTTGGTCGCCGGACTTTATTTTACTTTCATCATTTTATTTAAGTTGGTCTTATGACCTTAGTTTCTGTTCGGTCTCATAGCCTTTTATTTCAGTTGGTCCTCGTTGACCTTTTATGTTCTACATATAGGCCCAGGTCACTAGGACCTCCCACCAGTCACAGTATTTTCTGTTTGGCCATCAGACCCTTAATTTCTGTTGTTGTCATGCTGAAAATTGCTGACTTTACTTTATGTTTGGTCGCCAGACCTTATTTTTTTTTTTTTCACATTATATTTAAGTTGATCTTCTGACCTTAATTTCTGTTTGGTCATATGGCCCTTTTTTTCAGTTGGTCCTCGTTGACCTTTTATCATGTTCGACATATAGACACCCACCCTATTTTTGGAGCTGGACCGTTCATTCGGAGCGCTATTGGAATATATACCGATTGGTTCTTCCTTGCACCACACTCTCGGACTGTACTATGGGCACAGACAAAAAGTGAAACGTAAAGAGGCAAGAGATAGGATTTGTTTTTTGTTTTTTTAGCTTGGCGCCACCTAGCATCAGTGGTATTGCGTCGCACTGTCGCAATGACCAAATTGACTGTGGGGATCAGAGATAATCAATAAAATGTAGGCTGTAAAGCCAACGGTATACCTCTATGTATATGTAGAATGAGAATATGTGTGGACACTCTACTAAATAAATGAGTAAAGAGACCGAGCAACAATTATCAGATTTATCTGAAGAAAAAACAAATAGTAATGCAAATAATTATACCAGAATGCACAGTACCGGCACAAACAACTCACAGTAAGTTATACCAATATGTACAGTATCAGTGCAAACAACAGTAGACACAGTGGAATTATACCAATATGCACATGTAAACAGTCCCGATTCTAGAATAAATGGTACCGTATGGACAAGGAGCTCCCTCCATCTCTTGAACGCCTGACTAAGATTTACTCTTGTTTTTCTTGCTCTTCTTTGCCTCCTCAGACAGAGGAGCTCGTTTTCTTTTGCTAAGCCATTTTTCACTTGTTTCCAAAATTTGTCCATCTGTCATTGTGCTTGTGACTCAACTATCTCATGCCCAACTCCTCATAAGGACCAGCTCCAGTCCCTGATTGGCTGACCGACCAGTTTCGCAATACATGACGCCTTTCCTGCCTTAAAGCTATAGTGCGTAACTTCTGTCGCCTCCCAGCAGATAATGCGTTATTACAACTAATAAGCCGGCGGCACTTCCATGTACACAGAGTAACACTCGCCACACACCATATACACAGAGTAACACTCACTACACACCGTGTACACAGATTAACACTCGCTTCACACCATGTACACAATGCTACACAACGTGGCGAACACCAGGCTGCTAACATTACATTACGTTCATAGCACCATTTCCAAGAAAATAATAAAGTACTAGGTCCAGTACATGTAACAGCAACACATACTACTCATAATATAATTATAAACCAAGTCACTTACTTATCCAACAGCAACAAGGCAACATCCGTATCTGCCCTCAGCCCAATTCCTTCCTTCAGGGCTCTCCACTGAGGAAAAGCGAGGCCAATACAAATCCTTGTTGGCCTTCTCTGTCGGTCACTTTCCTTCTTTGGTAATAGACCTTCAGCCGAACGTCCAGGCTTTTTCTTTGTGGTAGGATCCACTTCTGAACCGTGTCTCGGCCGCTTCTCCGCCATGTTGCTTTCTCTTTCTACCTGCGCTCTACCTCTTGCTGTGACACTCTCCACTCTTCCTCCCCCTCCCTTCTTGTTTTGAGGAAGCATTTCCTGTTTGCCAGCATGGGAATGTCGCCGGTCAACACGCAAACTAAAAATAATATATATTAGATGTGGCAGGACGGCACAGCCCGTCTCCACTCATGTTGTGTATGTGCTGGGTCAGTGGATAGCTGTGTAGGCTCGCCCCTTTGCTCCCCGCCCATTGAGTGACACTGGGCGGGGCTACTGAGCAATTATCCAATTTCACCAGCGTACTGGGCGAGGCCAGCCAAAGCTATATATGGGGGAGAGCTGCGCCTCTCAGATGTGCGTCCCCCCACCTTATCCGGAAACCTGAGCGTGTGTGTCGGCAGTGTGGTTTGGCGTGGCAGAATTTGATCCACGTGGCTGTCTTGAGACGCAGGTCGACGCGTCTCCTCTGCTCACTTTGCCAGGTAGGCTCAGACACTATTATTGCGTCTCTGGCTCGTATTGGTGCCGTGTCTGATGCGCTTTCTGCTCTCCAGCAGAGTTGGCCTGTACTCTGGCCGGGGGTTGGGAGTGCGTGGCCTCGGAGCCGTGCGCAATAATCCGCGCACCGGGTTGGGAACCCTCAGGTAGGCTGGCTCGTGTGTGTCTGGCGTGTCTCATGCGCTCTGTCGGGCTGCACATTATGTGACTCTGGTCTCTGTTTGCTGTTAGCAGCTATAAAGGTGGTTGGTTGGTGGCTATCTCTCCTGTTGCCTGTGACGCTGCGCCCTCACTCACGGGTATGTATGCGTGCTTGTTTTAATCCATCTAATTGCAAGTCACGTATTAATTTTAGTCTGTATCACAGCAGGTGGCTCCTCCTCTGACGTGGGCCGCTGCGCTGCTGCTGCTGTTCTGTCCACCTGTTCTGTCTCGGGTTCACCCCAGCAAGCTTATTGTTCTCTTACATTTGTGTCTATTGTTTTTCGTTGTTTTGTTTTTTTGACATCCTCATTGTGTGTGTGCGCGGGTGTTTGGAGTTTCGCACGCCTGGAGTAAGTCAATCTGGATGAAACTCAAGTGTTGGCTTAACTGTATGCAGTGCTGCTCATGGGGAGGAAATGAATGCAGCATAGGACTTAAAGCTACACCAAGAGGACTGATCCACGTCAGCAATCTATTAGTATCGGTTGATTATTGTTTCTTTGTATTGTAATTAGATAATTATTTCGATCATTGGTGGATTTTGTGACCGTTGTTGTTTTCTGTAGATTTTTTTTGTGTTTAGTTATCCAGTTATTTTTGCATAGGTTTTGGTTTCTTATTTTTTTTCGTTTATTATTTGTTTGTTATATCAACAAAAGCACCATCAACCTTGGTGGAGACCTCCTGGGCCCGGCATAGTGTGGTGTTGGGGCAGTTTCTGGCTTGGTTTTGTTTTTTTTCTTGCCCCTTGCTTTGACTAATATCTGCCTCTTTTGTTGGACAGGAGCTGTTGGGCTGGTGTGGCGAGCGACTGACTGATTCCTGCGGTGGCGGTCCCCTCACTTCCTGTACAGTAGTGCACATGGGTGTCAGTTGATGGTGTGTGGTTTCTTTTTTCTTCACGTGTGGTGTGCCTCATCAGGACCCTTCCCCTCCCCCTCAGTCGTCGCCGCCTGGTGAGCCCTCAGCCCCTTTACACAGCACATGCACTTTTTTTTTGGCAAACTTAACCAACCTGTCAAGAGGCCCCAGAGGATTGTGCAATAATTTGCCTTTTGTTATTATTATTGTAATCTTGCTTGCATCATCACTGAGATTGGTCAGCATTTTAAATTTTGAAATATCGTTAATAAACTTTCTCTTTTATATTTTATTTGGAATCCGTCAGTCTCTGTGTCTCTCGTACCTATGTGACCTTGTTTACAGTATTAGAGAGGCGTTTCCCCTCTGATATATTTCCTGGGAGTGAAATTCCTCTAGGTGGCGTTGTCGGACACTTATTAACAGAAATAAATAAATCCAACCCTCGTAGCATTGCCACATATATATATATATTGAAAAATACCGCGAGATGTTAGAGGAGCCAATCGGCTTAATCAGCATTGTGTCATCTCCTCTAGTAGTGGCTTGGGTGAAACGGACATTTACGGACCTGTAAAAGTTACACACTATAGCTTTAAAGCAGATTTTTTCTGCGAAATTTCGGCACCAGTGGCAGCAGCTTATTGCAAAGATTGCAAAGCCACTAAGTAACTTATGTAAACTCTGATAGTCTTGATTTTACTGTGGCCACTACCCTGTGCAACCTACATTATTTTCATAATGATATATTTAGGAAAAGATGCTATCTGTTGCCTCTTTAACCACTCTTCGCGCTGCGTGTGCCCTTACACACTGGTATGCCATGATGCCGATCCAGGTGTGCCATGGGATTTTGTGGTAACCACACATTAGTATTGTAATATTCAACTGGGCTTATACAAAAGGTTGTGAATTTTAACTGAGTGTATCAATATGGTGTACACAGCCATTTCCTAATAAAGAGGCAATCTATGGCTAAAAAATGTCATTTAATTGAATTTTATTAAACAAACCTCCCCAGGAAAACTATTTAGAGTTATTAGTGTACAGCCAGTGTGAGGGATGATAACATTTAAAAGGATAAAACCATGAGTGGGACAATGGATCTCTTTATTGTACGGAGCAAATTACAACAAAGCACCAGCAATCGAAAAGAGAAAAAAATAATGTCAGTAGACAGTATCATGAAAGCTACCTGTCTTGTTTTTTCCTATTTTTATTTCTTATGTTGTGATCAGAGTGATAACACACGTTATAAAAGCTCTTTTGCATTTATATAAATACAGGTGTGCATGGACATTTTGGCTTGTCCTTTGGGGTGTCTTGGGCCCAAAAAGTTTGAAAACCACTGGTTTAGAAGTTGGTAAAAAAAAAAAAAAAAAAAAAAAAAACAGCATACAAATGGATGCTGAGTATATTAGTATATTAAAACATCCTTTCTAGAACACTTCTACATTTTGGACTAGTTTCTGAGTTTGATTTTTTTTTCATGATTTTATAATAGTTATGATATTGTATTTTTATTAGGAATATTAGTGTAAAAATGGGTCATTTGTAGCGTACACATGTCATCTACTTTCCTGACTGCCTCTGAGCCTAGACTTCAGGACCGCAATGGACACACGTCATGTGACTTTATCGGGATATCCTGATAAATTTTAATACCATATACACATTTGTGTACTTTATTTTGATATCAAATGAAAATGATTGAACAATCTCTTCTCATTAAATTACCTGGGACAAGTGAATTACAGATAATATTGGATTTCATTAAGATTTTTATGTAGATGGTTTGACACTACATATTTTCACTAACTGTGACATGTTGTCACTGTCAGAAATTATAAATATCTGCGACAGCTAGGAGGCTGAGGAACATTTCTTTCTGACTAGTAACCGCTGGGTGAGTTTTATGACATGGAATAATGCATGAACAGTCCTAACCACTTACATAACATTTTTTCCTGTTCTTCCAATCTCCCAATATGGTGTGAATGCTGGTACTGCTTCTTTACATGCTGTGTGGCTTCACATTCTCAACTGCATATAGTACTGGGACTGTCTTTAGGTCTGCTGTTTTTTCCGTAACTATCTGTCTTTCATTTCCTGGTACTTGTTACAGGCTGGAACAGTTATGTTACTTATGTTATTTACATCTTTGTCGTTGGTCTAAGTCAGACCATAAAAGACAGTTTAACATGTCACCAGCTTGATAACGTATTATGGGCACGTTTGAGCTAGTCTTACATTATCAGTGTTGTCATTTGTCACAAGCTAGTCATCTTGTTACGTCTGAATATCTGTACACAGGCAATTCTCCGGAGGCAGCCTGTGAATAGGCAGGGTAGCTATAAAGCAGCTGCGCAACCTCCATATGGATGAAAGAGAAATGCAGAACAACAGGGATATCAATGCCGGGTGTGAGATGCTCTGTTTCAAAATGATTGAAATTTAGCAGAAATTTACATTTAAAGTCCCTCGCTGTGTTTTCTGTTTTGTTTAATCAAGCTTCCCTGCAGCCACATGAGGCTTATGGCTCAGTGCTTTGGCCTCTGCTTCAGTCTATAGCTGACAGCATCAAAACGGATTCAGCAAGCTCTTAGTTCATAGTGTTCAGACAGACAGACGGAGACACAGGATAGAGGGACAGTGCTTTTGGATGTGTTCCACAGGCTTTTAGAAAAGCTCCCCTGTGTTTTATTATTGGAAATATTTGCTTTGGGAAGGTCTCTTTTAACGGGAGGACACAGCATCAGCCTCGGGGCACTGTATGATGACAAACAGATGGTCTGCTGTGATTTGTGTCTTGGCTGTTGGTGTGGCGATACCATAGCTGTAATGGAATATAATAGGAGGAGATGATAGGTGTTCTAGATAGCAGGCGATAGCAACAGACAGTGGCGAAGATTACTGTAAGCTGTGTTATCTGTGTCTAATAAATCTTTGCTCATATTTTTATATGGTTACGAATGACTTTTTACAATTATTTTATGAGGGAAAATTTGATTAAAAGCCCTGAAAACAATAGCCTGACATCATCAGACTAAATCCCAAATATGAATTAGTCTGGAACCTCTCAGTTTATTTTGAATTTCTAAAGGGTGTAATCAAAATGTGACATAGCACTGACCAATCATTTCGACCTACTGCAGATGAACAAATGTAACCAGGAGACAGTGTGCAGATGAGCTGACATACAGTACAGGCCAAAAGTTTGGACACACCTTCTCATTCAATGCGTTTTCTTTATTTTCATGACTATTTACATTGTAGATTCTCACTGAAGGCATCAAAACTATGAATGAACACATGTGGAGTTATGTACTTAACAAAAAAGGTGAAATAACTGAAAACATGTTTTATATTCTAGTTTCTTCAAAATAGCCACCCTTTGCTCTGATTACTGCTTTGCACACTCTTGGCATTCTCTCCATGAGCTTCAAGAGGTAGTCACCTGAAATGGTTTCCACTTCACAGGTGTGCCTTATCAGGGTTAATTAGTGGAATTTCTTGCTTTATCAGTGGGGTTGGGACCATCAGTTGTGTTGTGCAGAAGTCAGGTTAATACACAGCCGACAGCCCTATTGGACAACTGTTAAAATTCATATTATGGCAAGAACCAATCAGCTAACTAAAGAAAAACGAGTGGCCATCATTACTTTAAGAAACGAAGGTCAGTCAGTCCGGAAAATTGCAAAAACTTTAAATGTGTCCCCAAGTGGAGTCGCAAAAACCATCAAGCGCTACAACGAAACTGGCACACATGAGGACCGACCCAGGAAAGGAAGACCAAGAGTCACCTCTGCTTCTGAGGATAAGTTCATCCGAGTCACCAGCCTCAGAAATCGCAAGTTAACAGCAGCTCAGATCAGAGACCAGATGAATGCCACACAGAGTTCTAGCAGCAGACCCATCTCTAGAACAACTGTTAAGAGGAGACTGCGCCAATCAGGCCTTCATGGTCAAATAGCTGCTAGGAAACCACTGCTAAGGAGAGGCAACAAGCAGAAGAGATTTGTTTGGGCCAAGAAACACAAGGAATGGACATTAGACCAGTGGAAATCTGTGCTTTGGTCTGATGAGTCCAAATTTGAGATCTTTGGTTCCAACCGCCGTGTCTTTGTGAGACGCAGAAAAGGTGAACGGATGGATTCCACATGCCTGGTTCCCACTGTGAAGCATGGAGGAGGAGGTGTGATGGTGTGGGGGTGTTTTGCTGGTGACACTGTTGGGGATTTATTCAAAATTGAAGGCACACTGAACCAGCATGGCTACCACAGCATCCTACAGCGACATGCCATCCCATCCGGTTTGCGTTTAGTTGGACGATCATTTATTTTTCAACAGGACAATGACCCCAAACACACCTCCAGGCTGTGTAAGGGTTATTTGACCAAGAAGGAGAGTGATGGAGTGCTGCGGCAGATGACCTGGCCTCCACAGTCACCGGACCTGAACCCAATCGAGATGGTTTGGGGTGAGCTGGACCGCAGAGTGAAGGCAAAGGGGCCAACAAGTGCTAAACACCTCTGGGAACTCCTTCAAGACTATTGGAAAACCATTTCAGGTGACTACCTCTTGAAGCTCATCGAGAGAATGCCAAGAGTGTGCAAAGCAGTAATCAGAGCAAAGGGTGGATATTTTGAAGAAACTAGAATATAAAACATGTTTTCAGTTATTTCACCTTTTTTTGTTAAGTACATAACTCCACATGTGTTCATTCATAGTTTTGATGCCTTCAGTGAGAATCTACAATGTAAATAGTCATGAAAATAAAGAAAACGCATTGAATGAGAAGGTGTGTCCAAACTTTTGGCCTGTACTGTATTATAAACTGGTATTACGGGTGGGCCATAGGGCCAAAATCTATCACAGTTTATATAATTCTATATCACAGTATACATCATGATATGGTAATTTTTCTGAAAATTCAATCAAAAAATAATCTCACATATGATTATTTTCCTCTTATTTGGAACTTCGATACAAAAAAAAAGCCTTACGCGAGACAACACTTGAGTAAAAAACAAAAGATTCAAAGCATTCTCCTCCTCAAGAATCTAGCCCTGATTTGCCACATAGCCTGCCTTGAATAGCTCCCCCGGTAGTAACAGTGTTGTCAAAACTCTACTGGTGGACCAATTTCTACTGTTGTACGCTGTATACCATCATATTGCCCAACCCCTGTAGTATATTGAACTTTTGCCAAATACTTTCAGAAGTACAGCAAACACATCTTTCTTCTAATGAAAAGCCTTAAGCATAGCTGATTGTTTTTTTAAGCAAAAA